GTGTGTGTGTGTGTGTGTGTGTGTGTGTGAGTGTGTGTAAGTAAGTGTGTGTGTGTGTGAGAGTGAGTGAGTGTGTGTGTGTGTGTTTGTGTGTGAGTGTGTGTAAGTAAGTGTGTGTGAGTGGATGTATCTGTTTTACACTCTTGATGTTTAAGAGTGTAACCCCTTCCTTGCTGTCCACTTTTTTACTGCACTGTAGTTGAATTATTGATTTTATTTTGCATAGTTGCAGTGTTACAGTCACACCAGTTCATAAGTGTGTGTGTGTGTGTGTGTGAGTTGGTGTGTTGATTTTGCACTCTAGATGTTTTAGAGTTTCACCCCTTCATTGCTGTGCATTTTTTTTCTGCATTGTGGGGGATTTGTAAATTGTACACACAAAAATGTTCAGTATTTTTCCCCCATTTCCCATTCATTTCCTATGGTCGCTCATTTTTGACCGAAGACCATGAGTGTGACTATTTTTTTAGGACCACTTAGCTTTTTCGAATCATGCCCTCAATTTTTTTTGTGTTCACATACCAAGTGCCATAAAAGACACCAAGTTTCGTACCCTTCCGATGAAGCTACGATTTTTAAAAATTCAAAATGTTAAAATCTCCAGTCAGAAGTGACCGAAAACCGCACAAGGGTTAAAATGATTAAATGCTTTGTGTTGAAAGAAACATGATCGCAAGTCATTATGATGCTGGATTTGAGAGTGAATCAGAATGAAATTGGTCTGCTTGATTCATTAGCAAAGTTCTGAATCAAAATGATTCTTATCTGCTAATCTTAACAACCAGTCTTGGTTAAAAACGTGTCTGCTGTTCTTTTCCTTGAAATAATGTATTTGTAAATGTGTTTATTCAGGTTTGGAGACTGATGGGATTTACAGAGTCAGCGGGAATCTGGCCGTCATTCAGAAACTGCGCTTCGCTGTCAATCATGGTGAGAAAGAGTCAAAATCACATCAATATCATACCCATAACCGTCATGATATGAGGATCTGTCATTCATTGCAACTAAAAGCAACATGAAATCAAAACTGAACGCATGTCCTGGTTTCACTGTGAATGATTCACTGTAATTATCAGCAATATATAGGGCATAAATACATTTCAAACCCAGTTTTATGAAATCATTATTGTTATTTTAAAAAAATAAACATGTCATACATACAGTAATCAAAATTATTTAATGATAATTTGAAAAATGCAAGAGATGCTTTTAATTTGGGACCAAATTGTTGGTTTTTAGTGTACATTTCCTATAAAATTAATATGCAGGTACTTTGGTAACATGTTTGAATGCTTGAATACTTCATTGTATAAAAATATTTCTCCCATCACGCTGTAGAAAAGCCCAAATTATGTCACTTCCTCTATGTTACAATTTTAAGAAATTCTACATTTTATGTAACTGGGGAAAATTGAGTTTTGAGTCGGTTAATTGTACTAAATATTTTGTACTACAGTAAATTGATGATTAATTCGTTTATTGATCAGATGAGCTGCTGATGTGATGTACTGTAAGATCAGAAAGATCTTTTTTTGCTGTATGATCTTTTATATGTTTTTCCATTACTTTAACTCATCAAAATAATTTAACCAATTTCAATTTAATTTTTTAAGTTATACAAGATTCAACTCAGTTTTCAGACAAAAGTCAGTTTAATATAATTTAAGTTGAAATTAACTGAACAGCCAATTTGATTATACTTGAATTAAGGCAGCAGCTGAATTTAAGTTTTTAAGTAGAAGTAGGTGGAATTTTTTACAGTGTATTTGCAGAAAGCACTCATCAGTAGGTCACAGAAGAGCGGCCTGTCATGTGACGTGTGAATGATGTCATCAGACGTGTGTGTGTGTGTGTGAGTGAGTGAGTGTGTGCGTTTGTGTGTGTGTGTGAGTGTATGCGTTTGTGTGTGTGTGAGTGTATGCGTTTGTGTGTGTGTGTGAGTGTATGCGTTTGTGTGTGTGTGTGTGAGTGTGCGTTTTTGTGTGTGTGTGTGTGTGCGCGCGTGTGTGTGTGTGTGCTTCTGTTACGAGCAGT